AGGAATGCTTGATTTGAGATAGTCTAAGAAGAGTACTGGATACAGTGCATTGTCTATGACACCACTGAACCATTTCATGCAGCCTTGTTGAAATCCCCAGAAAGGAGTAAAAGCTGTTGATATCCACATCACATAGCCGCCACTTTCGGGGAACATGGTGCTCAGTTCGGCGGTGATGAGGGCCTCGGGAACGCTCCAGATTAAGGGGAAGATGAGGAATCCGATGATGGCGAGGAGTGGACCGGCGGCACCGACCGTGTCCTCGATGCCGAAAGGACCGCCGGAGACTTCGTAGAAAATGAGGAAGATGAGGGGGATTAAAGAGATCTTGCGGTGGTTGCGCGGCGGAGATGGGAATTGTTGGGGATAACCTTTGTGTTCAGATGTGTCGCAGTTGCCGTCTCCCATTTTTATGGAAAGAGCTTCAGGTGCGTTGTTCTGCATTTGAAGTGGAAGGGACGATGAATAATTCTGGCTTTCATATGATTTTCATATGCTATGCATGCAAAAATGGATTTTTTTTCATAGATAATAATCATATTATGCGTTTCTGTTTAGAAACAGAAATCATTTTTAAGATCCAAATTTACAAACACACCACATATTTCTTATATATTTATATATTCAGAAATTTACGTGTTCATGACACCCAATTGCTATGCATTTGTCATTGGTCACACCTAAACATTAATTTTTACATTCAAAGCACCCTATAAATGTGTAATTCATATTTTCATACATCTGTTCAAATATAGAAAGAGATGCTTCTTGTAAAAATTGAAGCTAAAAACACGAGAATTCGGTGTTATGTATGTAAATTTTCTTTTAATATTTATATAACTATAATTTTACTGTCATAAAATAAATAAAAAATATATTTCACTTTTAAAAAATTAATAATTATGTATTCTTTTATAATGTTAAAATTTTGACTTTAAAATATAAATATAAATTCAAAATATAAAATCATTTTTTAGAATCAGCCCCCACCGTTCACATTCAGATAACCAATCTAATTTATTCACTAATTATATTCAAACTAATCATAATTAGGCCTATTATTATAGCAATAAGAACAATTCAAAAAATATATATTTTTTAATCATAGCATCTTAGAACAATCCATTTAAACAAGCAATAATATAATATAAATTAGTATTAAATAAAAGCAAAAAAGCAATCCTTATAGGATATAATAATAGTTTCTTGCAAGCCAATAACGACAAAATTATATAAGTAGATAAATTATTTTATTATACATCGATAGATAGATATATATATTATATATACAAATTATTGATCTGAACAGAGTATAGAGATTTGAGAAAATAAACAAAAATATTAATCTGAACAGACTATTACTCACCTCAAACTCCAAGGCATCTAACCCGCCCGAACTCTTCTGGCCACATATAACTGCTTCGCCCATCGACATAGCGGCCGCTTCCTGATTGCCGCCGGCCATCTCTGGCGGACCGTTCCCGGCGGTTAGATTCACCTCCGGCACAGAATCGCCGGAGACGGCGATGCTAGTTGCCTTATCCCGGCCGTTCATTGTAAAATATACTCAGCAGTAGTTTGGAGTACGCATTACATTCATTCTTCGTAGATAAATAGCTTCTCCGCGGCATGTGTTGCTCCGCCAGAACATTGCTGCTCTGCGGATGAAGGAGGTTCGCTGAAATTACCCGTGCCGTATCGGGTTGAAGTTCGACCGTGTCAAATTAGATCGCACATGAATTGAGCTGATTTGTTCATAAAAAATAATAATAAATGATATACATTTGTTTATTTGTCTATAAGGCTGTCAATTTGGCTCGTTGCTCGTAAACAGCTCGTGTTCGGCTCGTTAAACAGCTCATGTTCGGCTTGTTCGTTAAGCCTAACGAGCTGAACACGAACAAATTTTTAAGCTCGAAATGTAAACGAGCCGCACACGAACAACAGCTTGTTCGCTCATGTTCGGCTAGAAATGTCTCGAAAAAAAATTTATATAACTTTTTTATATAACAATATATTACATATATTATTTGTATAATAATATATTATATATATTTATGTCTAAGTTTAAATCATAACACTTCATGTGGTAATGTGGTTAGTGTCTTCTTTTGTATAAATTTGATCAAGGTTAGAATCCTACAATTTACATCTATTTTTCTCAATTTTAGTTTAAAGAGTCAATTTCGAGCCGAACACGAGCCGAACACGAACACGAATATTTAAATCGAGTCGAACACGAACACACTGTTCACGAGCGGATTTCAAACACGCGCCGATCGAGCCAAGCCTGAGCTCGCTCAAGCTCGGCTCGTTTACAGCCCTATTTGCCTACATGTTTGTCAAGTTAGATTGCAGATTAAGAAGGTTCTCGGCGACCCGCTGGTAGCTACAGATAGCCGGGATAACCCGCACCGTGAACAGCCGACCAAGTTTGGATGATCGACCCACCTCAACGACCGACCCAATTTAGTAGAACGAGTTGTCACCATCGACTCAAACCTAATTAAGTTTGGCCAGCAAATGAAGTTTGGTCGGCCGAGCAAAAAATCAATCAAATCACAAACCCAAACATATAAAATATCAAATAGTCTCATGTAAGCATAGATAAATATGTACCTTCAAATATTGTATCATCTCCATTATAAATAGAGTATCATTTTATAAATAAAAACATATCAGAGAGGCATGAGCAACCCTCAATTATCTCTTATTAATGTTCATGTTATCGTGCACTTGATGCAACTTTCATTGGAACCAGACGCTTCTCCCTGGAATCGAACGCTTCTTCCTACTAATTTATCTACTTTTCCTTTAAATATATAGCTTACTTCTCTAGTATTTGCTTAAGGTTCAGTTAGTATTTTATATTATAGTAATTACTTGTCATGAAATGGAGAAATATTTATGTACGAAGAACGCATGCAGCTCTCAGTGCGTAATCCACTCCCCATAACTCTTATTGAGGAGTTATGCAGAGGGGATTACGCACAGACAGCTGTGTGCGTTCTCCTTATGTGAATGTTTCTTTATGAAAAGGGTGTGGTCTCCCTTTTGGTTTGCTTTAGAAGTTACCCTCATCCTTTCTGTTATAGAGGAGTGTAGAGATATGTGGTAGGACATTATACAACTATAGCTTTTCTGATTTATAGAGTCCCTTCCAATTTTCTCCCTTCTTCTTATTGTTCTTACTTTCGCTCAGTCAAGTTATGCACAAGAATGGTATTAGAGCTCGATATGACAGATGATGACAGGACCTCAGCAGCCGACTGCGATCGAAGCTGGGATGATTTGTGAGAGTCGCAGACATGCTTTGAGCGAAGAGTGGATTGACTCGTCGCTGATCAGGAACTCTGTCATTGAGATTTTATAGGAGCTTCAACTTCTTCGTAATGGAGGATCGACAATTTCGACAACCACACAAGCGGTCGTGACACCCACACCAATGACCGAGCAGAATGCCATTGTGAATTGAGATCGAAGGGCCACCCTAACACATAACCGACCCTTGAACTTGTTTCAAGGTAGGAAGAGGACACCAACAACGGTTCAATTTCTGTGATCTGGATTAGATGACGACAAGCAGCTCGAAGAAATTCCAAATCGCATCCAACGGGGTAGGGATTGATTTTATAATGATGTCAAGGTAAAGCTGGATATTCCTTATTTTGACGATCACCTTCATATTGAAGATTGCTTGAATTGGGAGCAAGTCATGGAAGCCTTCGAATACATCGATGTGAATTCATAAAAGCAGGTACGATATGTTGCCTGTAGATTTAAAGGTGAAGCGGAGGGCTTCGTGGCAGCAAGTGACACAATCTCGATGGAGAAAGTGAAAAAGACCTATTAAAAGCTAAGCTTCGATGTGTTGCCTGTAGATTTAAAGGTGAAGCGGAGGGCTTTGTGGCAGCAAGTGACACAATCTCGATGGAGAAAGAGAAAAAGACCTATTAAAAGCTAAGCTTCGATAAAATAACTTTTGTTTAATAATGTTTTACCTTCCGATTGTGAACATATTTTGTATGTGCAATTCAAAAAATACACCCAAGGGAACCGCTTTGTCATTGCTTACGCTGACGAATTTCACAGTGCCTCGTAACGATTTAATAGAATCGAGGCAACCAAGTGTGGCTTTCTATATTAGAGGATTGAAGGAGGCTATTCACGACAAATTGTAAGTGAATGTGGTGTGGTCACTGTCGCAAGCAATAAATTACCCCTACAAGTTGTACTTCAGTTAAACAAGACTCTCCATTCATTTAGGCATCGAAAGCCAGTTAGATGGTGGTAAGGGTTGTCCTTAGAATAGCCAATCTTCCCCCATTCCTACGACGAACTCAGCTGTCAATTCAAGCAGAGGCGATGGTAAAGCAATTGGCAAAACAATGATATATAAAGACAATTTATATCATCGACCCGGACTCATGAAGTGTTTTTGATGTTTTCAATTGGGCCATTATTCTAATGAATGTCCAACCAAAGATAAATTCAAGTATTAGAGGGAGAATTGGACAACGATGATGACCATCCCGACCATATCCCTTTCCATGAAGCCGACGTGGAAGAACTTTCAATTGATGAAGGGGAGATCTTAAATTGCATTTTACAGAAGGTGTCACTCTCCTCGAGACAACCAATTAAATACCAACAAAATGCTATCTTCCAGATTAGATGCACTATCAAAGGTAAAAGTATGTGAATTGAATGTTGATAATGGGCTAATGAAAACGTGATAACTAAAGTCATCTTAAAAGCACTCCAATTAAAAACCACCAAGCATCCCAGCCATAAAAAATTGGCTGGATTAAAAAAAGAGCTGAGGTTATGGTGACTGAACTATGATTTTGAGTTAATCTTTATCTGCAAAGTGATAGTGACTTCACCGAGATGGATGCCTGTCATATGATTATGGGTTGATCCAGGCAATTCAAACAGAAAATATGAATATACAACCATGTTATAGATGTGTATCTTAAAAAAGGCTCATCTCCCTACTGAAATTGAAAATAGTTTGCCTCTATCACACCTCTGCTCATTCGAACAGAAAAATTAAGAGAGACAAATGTAGCGCGAGAGATCGAGAGAGTGGAGTAGATAAAATAGAGAATTGAGAAGAACAAAGGAGTCACAATAGAGGGAAAAGAAGAAAATTGAGGTAGAGGAGCCGAGACACTTACCTAGTGGTTATTAAATTTTCTTATTAAATGATTTTTGCCTAATCTTATTAAATTTCCTTAAGATTATTTTTTTAAAGGAAAATAAAATATGAATAAATTAATTCTCTATCTGATATTCTATTAGAATTTTTTTTTCAAAATCGGTCAAATATGAAACCACATCACATAAAAATATTATTACTATTTGAAATATATATATATACATATATATATATATATATAATAGAAGCTACTAAGTGCAGTATATATATATATATATATATATTACAAAATTACACCATAAATACTAAAATTTAAATTTAGGAGTTAGATTTGTATGATATGCATTTAAATATTCCATTTAGTTATCAAGCCCTTTTGTGTAGGCATGTATGGCTATTAAGGATTCATGTCCGAAAAGATTTAGTGCGGCTTGAAAATAACTCGTGATTCATAATGTTAATTTCGAGTTGAGCCAACTGGAAATTGAATCGAGCTCGACCCATTTTAAATTCGAAACGAGTTGGCTCAATTTAAGTAATTTTGATAACTTTCAACTCAAAATAGGCTTGATCTTACTCAAAGTTTGAATCAACTTATTTATTTTGAATTATTTGGATCCACTCCGGCTCTAAATCATTTCAAAATTATTCTTTAACTCGTCATATTTAATTTTACTTATCATATATATATATA